TATTGGCAACAATTTCACTTATATTTAATTTGTCTGAAAATGTTTTTAGTTTTGCCTTTTTTTTAAAAAATAAGGATAGTTTTGCTGGGTATAGAATCTGGGGTTGCTGTTGTTTTGGTTTCATTTGGTTTATTTAAAATTCATCCCTTTATAGGCATTGTTGTCTTCTGATGTGCATTTTTTCTAATGCAAAGTCAGCATCAGTCATTTCATCCCTTTGTATAGAAAGTGTCACTTTTTCTCTGGCTGCTTACAAGATTTCCTCTTCATTTTGGGGGTTTCAGTAGTTTGCCCATTCAGTGCATAAACATAGTTTTCTTTGTATTTGTTTAGATTTTGCTGAATTTCTTGAATCTATGCATCTATGTTTTTCACCAAATTTGTACATTGTTTTAGGGAGACCTTCAGACAAAAAGCCACACAATGCAAATCTCACCCATGGAGCTCCTATTTTACCAAGACATGACTTCTCTTCAATTTCTGCCTGCTTTTGGTAGCTCTCCAGTCATTCATATAGTTTTGTTTTGTTTGGGTCCAGATTCTACAATTGTTATCTCAAGGAGAGTTCGTCTAATCAAGCTACTCTGCCATCACCAAATGCAGGAACTCTTACCCTATTTTAGCAATTAATAATAAAACACGCATCTTTCCACATAATCACACATTCTTATACTATATTTTTAATATGGTATTCCACTCCATGGACATGATTGAGTTTTTTAATCATTCTGTAGAAATTCCAACAATTCACATTTTGCTGTTATAGATAATGCTGTGCCAGGCATCTTTGTAGTTGTGTCCATGGTTATTTCCTTAGGATAAAATCCCAAAATTTCTGGGTCAGCCATGTCATCTTAGATTTTCCAAGCTGATTAGTATTATTGTATTGCATGTTTACAAGGTTGTTTTCAATAGAATGTGCTTCTAGGTAAGTACATTATGTTTCATTATGTTAGTGTTGAACCTCTAAATATTAAACTTTAATAAGCATGTATTTTCCCATCTATAAAGTTTTGAATTGAACTTGAGTCCTTTCTGGATTTTCTGCAATATTTGTTTCAGAGTCCTGTTCGATTCGATACCTTTGATAGCCTTTCACTAAGTATTCCAGCTGCCACCTGGGTATGTACTGACCTATGGTTCATTTGGGGTCTGTTTCGGAGACATTGGAGTCTGAAGGGCTTTGAGGCATTTTGTGTAGCTCAACAGGCTAGTGCAGGGGTGGGCAAACTTTTTGACTCGAGGGCCACAATGGGTTCTTAAACTGGACCGGAGGGCCGGAACAAAAGCATGGATGGAGTGTTTGTGTGAACTAATATAAATTCAAAGTAAACATCATTACATAAAAGGGTACGGTCTTTTTTTTTTTTTCAGTTTTATTCATTTCAAACGGGCCGGATCCGGCCCGCGGGCCGTAGTTTGCCCATGGCTGGGCTAGTGCCATGTGTTATTCAGACCTGTGGTTGATTGAACCCATTCAGTTTTAATGTGTAGTACCATGGCCTGATTTTGGGGGAGAAGAGGTGGGCAGTTTGTCTCTTGCTGCAGAAATTTTGGCTTTTTAATATACATGCACACACATAATAATCTCACATTCCAAAATATCTAAAAGAGTGTGGGAGTCCATAATTGTCTGCAGCGTTATGTCCTCATACCCTTGACTCCATCATGGGAGCCAGCCTAGGGTGCTTGAGCTCCATGTTTGTTCAGAAGGCAGCCAGTTGTGTATGTGATGCTTTTTTGCCTCCGTGAGCAAAAAGAAAGCTCTGGGATTCGTGGTGCCATCTGTTCACCGTGTCAGTAGCTCCCCTTTGAATTGTGATAAAGCGTTTTCTTCTCGTGCTGTAGGGTCATCCACTGACCCTGGACCACTGCCTCCACCACTTCATCTCATCAGAATCCGTGCGGGATGTTGTGTGTGACAACTGCACAAAGGTAGGCCCTCAGCCCCGAATGCCATCTCCCCAGAGCCTGTGTGCCCAATAGCGCTCCTCTCACACCATTGGCCTGAGCTCTTCTGACTATTCGCCAAGGATCCTTTCAGCCACTGCCATTTCCACCTAAGGTTGGGCACCTGGCAGCCCATGGAGCAAATCTCTTTCCCTGATGAGTTCTGTTGTATCCACATAATATTTAAAGAAGAAATCTGATGCCATGCTTTGAGATTGGACATGCCCTCTCCGATTCGCTACAATCCCCTCCATTCCCACTTGTTTCACACCCGCCTTACCTATGTTACCTGCCTACCTCCCTAAGCAACTGAATTAAGAGGGACTGTGTGGAACAGAAGTTTTAAAGACACAACAGAATAATAATAATAAAAAAAAGACACAACAGAATAGATTAAATGCCAGTGTCAGAGCTTTTATTTCTCCTGCCTCCACTGTTGCTGGTACTTAAGAAATAAAACACGGAAAACCCACAAATAATGGGGCAGCTGAGTTCAGTTCAGCAGGTAGTAGTCAAGTGCAAGTTGAGTGCAGGTATAAGCACCAACCTGACGGGCAGCTCTCCAGAGATGTCCTTTCAAGAATTTCAGCAGATGGATGTTGTTCCTTTTATTCCAGATTGAAGCCAAAGGGACATTGAATGGGGAGAAGGTGGAACACCAGAGGACCACTTTCGTTAAGCAGCTAAAACTAGGGAAGGTGAGCCCACACCACGCACCTTGTCGGCTCTGCTTTCGAGGCCTCTTGGGGGCCCGCTCCCGACACTCAGCACTTCCGGTTTCTCCCGCCTGCAGCTCCCTCAGTGTCTGTGCATCCACCTGCAGCGGCTGAGCTGGTCCAGCCACGGCACGCCCCTGAAGCGGCACGAGCATGTGCAGTTCAATGAGTTCCTGATGATGGACATCTACAAGTACCGCCTTCTTGGACATAAACCTGGTCAGCACAGTCCTAAACTGAAGGAGAAGGCCAGGCCTGCGCTGGAACTGCAGGACGGGCCGGCAGCCCCCAGATCAGGTACGTGCCGGAGGAGCGAAGGCAGCGGGAGCCCACAGCACAGAGAAAAGAAGCTTGGTACCACTAGCTTCTGGGCCTTTCTGCCTTGAAGGCTTGTCCAGTGGTTGCTGAAATTCTTGAAAACAGTAGGATTCGGGCCGGAAGGGTAAGATTTCTTAAAAGAGGTTAAAATGATATAGTAATGAGATGTATAGTTTTATTTGTTTTTGTTTGTTTTTATTGATTTCAGAGAGGAAGGGGGAGGGAGAGAGAGGTAGAAACATCAATGATGAGAAAGAATCATTGATCGGCTGCCTCCTGCATGTTCCACACTGGGGATCAAGCCCACAACCCGGGCATGTGCCCTTGACCAGAATTGAACCTGGGACCCTTCAGTCCACAGGCCAGTGCTCTATCCATTAAGCCAAGCCAGCTAGGGCGAGATGTATAGTTTTAAAAACTGTCAACATTTGAAAAAATGTAGGAAAGAAAGCTTAAGATTTCTTTCTGGTCTTTTGACTAAGCAATAATTGGTTCACATATCATTCCAGTGAATTTTTAAAAATTTTTTTCTTAAATATATTTTTATTGATTTCAGAGAGGAAGGGAGAGGGAGAGAGGGATAGAAACATCAGTGATGAGAGGGAATCATGGATTGGCTGCCTCCTGCATGCCCCGCACTGTTGATTGAGCCCGCAACCCGGGCATGCGCCCTGCCTGGGAATTGAAAGTGACCTTTTGGTTCATAGGTTGACGACACTCAACCACTGAGCCATGCCAGCCAGGCTCTTCTTCTTTTTTTCTTTCTTTTTTTTAATGTTTTTATTATTTATTTTTTCAGAGAGAGAGAGAAGGGGAGAGGGAGAGAGAGAAACATTGATGTGAGAAACATTGGTCGGTTACCCCCTACCCGGTCCCTACTGGCCCCCCACTGGGGTTCAAGCCCGCAGCCTGGACATGTGCCCTGACTGAGAGTGGAACCTGTGGTCTTTCGGTGCAGGGGACGATGCCCAACCAACTGAGCCACACCAGCCAGGCCCAGTGAATTTCTTCTATTTTCCCCCTTAGCACAGTCATCTCAATTATACAGAAAGTGTGGGGAAGAAATGTCCTGGGTAGAGATCACTGAACATCTCACTGGGGTTGACGCTTCTCCTCTACTGAATGACTTATTTATTATCTAATTCCATTACTAGCCTCACTTGAGGTCCCTCGTTGAATGGGGTCCCAGTGAAGCAGGTCACTATTATTACCCTCAGTCTCACCGAGGAGAAAATCAAGGCGTCAAGAGGTGAAATGATTGGTCCCCAGGCCAACAGCAGGGAACGGGCATAGAAGGCAGTGCTGGGCAGTGTTATAAAGGCATCTGATATCATCTGTTGAGAGCTTTAGAGTTAGAGATGAGGAAGCCCACCGATGTTAAGCGCTCCAAGCCTGAACCACCACCTCATGCTCCCACTCAAGTCCCGACCGTCTTCCCGGGTGGGAGTGCAGGTCTGCTCACGGTCACCCCGTGGTGGCCATGGTTAAAGAGGCCAACAGTAAACTCCTTGTACTTAAAGCCCCTCCCATGTGACACTTGAGAGGAAACGAGATGTAAATATCTCCTTAATTATTGTACCTACTCCCATGAGCATGTGTGAACACTGTTACATGTTGGTATTCCTTAGAAGCTGACAATGAAAGGAGTGAGGAGGTTTAGGTCAGTGGTTCGAAACAAGAATTTTGCCTCCCAGAGGACATTGGGCGTGGCTGGTGGCATTTCTGGCCGAGAGGGGTGTCACAGGAATGTAGAAGGTAGAGGCCAGAGATGATGTTAGATATCCTGCAATGCACAGGGAAGCCCCACAGCAGAATTATCCATCCCACATGTCGATCATGTCAAGGTTGAGAAACTGCAGGTTTAGGTCAAAATGCCAGTAACGTAGCTACTGCTTAATTCTGACCCGGGCCCTTAAGCAGACAGCGATTTACAAAACCGTCAAAGTGAACAGTGGACCCGGAGCCCCATGTGCTTTTCCTGTTGGTGATTAAAACAGGGACAAAAAGGCAGGAAACTTTACAGTAACAAAAAGAAATATTTATATTTTCTTTGTAGCATTATTGGGTAGTTACATTTCAGCGTAATCAGTAATCAAAACCATGTTTTGCTTACCCACACCCGTTGCTAATTTTAACTGCCTCGGGCCTTTTTCTCTTGCAGTTCTGAATCAGCCAGGGGTCCCCAAAACCCAAATTTTTATGAATGGTGCCTGCTCCCCATCTTTGTTGCCCACCCTGCCAGCCCCAATGCCCTTCCCCCTCCCGGTGGTTCCGGACTACAGGTGAGCCACTCTTCAGAGGCAGCCTTCATTCCGTGGAGGCTGCTGTTTCTCTGGGTTTCAAAAATTAGCTCTTCACGAAGTGAATGAGTGTGGAGATGGCTGTCTTTCATTTATAGGTGGAACTTCATTATTATGCATTCCTGTTTCTGTCTGTCCAAAATGGAAGTCACTATAAATATAAGAATTATAAAAGTTAAATATATGTTATGTGTATGTGTGCATACATGTATGAATGTATGTAGAAAGAGTATAAAGCAGAAAATTTTTAATATCTTGGGATACCACCTAGATCGCCAGTTAAATCCTTAATGTCTTCCACTCTGTAATGTGTGTGCGCGCACTTATACAGACACTCATAGAATGGGCATCGTACCAGTAAATATAGGTCTGTATTTTAATGGCTGTGTAGCATTCACTTGTACGGATGTACCATTGTAGCAGCCCCCTGTCGTTGAATATCTAGGATTGTTTTACTTTTTGCTTTTGTAAACCACTGGCATTTGTTCCTACCCGTCAGCTCCTCCACGTACCTCTTCCGGCTGATGGCGGTTGTCGTCCACCATGGAGACATGCACTCCGGACACTTCGTGACTTACCGACGGTCCCCACCTTCGGCCAAGAACCCTCTCTCAACCAGCAACCAGTGGCTGTGGATCTCCGACGACACCGTCCGCAAGGCCAGCCTGCAGGAGGTCCTGTCCTCCAGCGCCTACCTGCTGTTCTACGAGCGCGTGCTTTCCAAGAGCCGGGAGTACAAGTCTGAAGAGTGACTGTGCCGGCCCCAGAGCGAGACCTGATGGCGCTGTCCACGCCGTCAGGAAGAAGACGAAGCCAGGCCGCGGGTGTGCAGGCAGCCCCACGAGAGTCCCCGCCTCCTGGTGTGTTCTGAGAGCAGGTTCCCCCGGGGAGCAGGTGGCCCCAACGCAAACCAAACCGCCCGGAGCCGCTCGCTAGCGCGCCCTGCAAGGTGTCCTCGTTGTGTTAGCAGAGCACTCGTATGTCTAGAGCACCTTTTTGCTCACCTCATACAGGTGATTAAAAGACATCAGACTCCGGGAGGCATCGTTTTTATATTCTGATATGCTAGGTGTTCTCCGAGGGGCGTTACCTTTGTCACGTCCTCGGATGTCTCAGCACAGATCTTTTATTTTTAATAAGCAGGCCCATCTGAAAATTGTTGACAAGAGTTAGTGAAATTATTGAAGGCAACAATTTAGAAGAAAAAGTGCCTTTCACTTCCGGTTGCTTTTGTAGCATGTCCATTCTGGAAAACGCACTTGCTCTAAGAGCCGCAGCAACACTTTTTGAAAAGCTCTCTTCCAGGTTTCTCAGTGGCTGGCTGAAGGACAGGTGACGGATGCCTACAGAACACCTGCCTTTCCTTTTTGTACATCTTTTTCTAGCCTTCCGACCCTTTATATCCAGTGAAAGCTCATCTGCCAAATCTGCCCCTCGGGGAACCCGTTCACGACCGCGTCGGTGCTAGTGACCGGCTGGCTCACTTGTTGCTTCTACCTTCAGTATGGGACTGGGTGGGTTATACACCCACCTCAACAGCCAGAACTGAGCGGCATCGGCTCACCTGCGACCCCTCTGCTCTGTAGAAGACCCTTTCTCACATAGAGACCTAGTTGGACAGTTATTCTCACCCATTTATTTATTGCTCGTGCGGAGCTCATAAGACTTACAGGTGGGGCCGGGGCTGCGTAAGAAGACAGCCCTGCCTGGATCTGAGAGCCTGATCCGGAAGGAAAGGCACTGACCCCGGGGCTGCAGTCTCCATGGACCTGTTTCCGCATCATAAAGTGAAGGGTTAGATTCAGTGACCATCCAAGGCCAGGCTTTTCCACAAAAAGATGTCCAAGTTATTTTTTAAACACAGCTACAGCTGACACCTAGTATTGTCATTCTGTTATAGGTCCATATCCTAAATGTATTTGTTCCCAGCAGCCTCATACAGAGAGACTGCGGTGAGCATTCTCTTCCCTCTTCAGGTGAGTCTCACGAACACAGACCAGGGCCGAAGGCATTTTGATGACACGGGAGTATCTGTGTTTTTAGCTAGATTTTTTTTTGTATTAACAAAAAAGAAAAAGGATACCAAATTCGTATGGACTCTTCAGAGAGATGATTTGGAATCAGACCTACCCACAAGGCCACCTGAGGTAAGTCTAGGACCTGCCCTTCCTCTGGTGGGGGCGAGCAGGCAGACATTTCTAGACGATGCCTGGTGTCAGCTAAAAGCTCAAGAGGCCACGCTCCCACCAGGCCCAGCTCGCATTCTGAGGACGCAGACTCTCATCACGGATAGAACATACTGTGAAGGTTCTCCAGGTCATGGCCGGCGGGGTGAAGGGAGCAGCTGGAAGCGTTGGGTCCATCCATTCACTGCTGCTCCCTCCTGATTCCGTGGCAGACCCTGGCTTTGATGTTGAAACAAGCGGACCTACCTGTGTTCCCCGAGGCTGGTGGAACAGATACCCAATCGTGTGACCTTAAACTGCACTGCACACCTGTAGCTTTGAGTAACTGCTGCTCTGCCACGGCTCCTCTTTGAAACCTGCCATTAAGAGAGATGCCGGGCACGGAAGGGCTGATCCTTTGAGCACATTGTAAGCAGGTTGTTGGTCAGAGGCCTGGGTGGGAGCCAAGGTTGTAAAATGATGCTGTGCAGAGTCTCTTAAGTCGACTTGAAGCTGACTTCCTCATTTTGTAAATTATCAGGCATTAAGTAGCGGCCAAATAATCTTATTTCTAGTTTTAAGTTATTTACAAAACAGCTTCTTTTTGGAAAAACCTAAGTTAAAGTAGTAGTTTATGCCATAATAACTGCTGATTTATGTACTTGCTAAAGGTACCTTTTGTATCTGCTGTGTATTATAGCAATAAAAGAATCATTTTCAGGAAAAAATCAACTGGTATTCTTTCATAATTTATTTTTTTAAATCCTCACCGGAGGACATTTTCACTGGTTTTTAGAGAGGGGAAAGGAGAGTGAGAGCAGCATCGATGTGAGAGAGAAACATCGATCGGTTGCCTTCTGCACTTGCCCTGACCATGCCCCCAGCTGGAGCCGGGATCGAAACTGCAATCTCGGCATGTGCTCTGGCCAGGAATCGAACCTGGGACCTGTCAGTGGATGGAACTACGCTCCTACCGACTGAGCCAGGGCTATTTCATCATGTACTGATGTGACAGAAACATCCTCTTTCTGAATGGTTATGTAACGTTAAGCCTTTTCTTTTCCCGTTGGTAAAGGCAATGTCAGCTCCATCCTTGAGTCGAGAGGAAACAGAAAACAGAAGTACTAACCGGAAAATATTTTTACTTTCTAGTAGGCAGAATTCTACGAAAGGTCAGATTGACGCGCGGAGCCAGAACGTTCTTGCGGACGGGGAGACTGTGATACCAGTGAGAGTTGGTCGGGTGGTTCATCATCAGTAGACTCCCATGGGCCAGCGGCAGCCTGACCACCTCCAGCCTCCGGGAGGGGCTTCTCCCTCGAGCATGTCTGTGCCGGAAGAAGAAGTCTCTGCAGGCCCCAAAGGAGACGGAGGCGATGGGGCTCCCAGGAGCCAGTTCTCTTTCGTCATCTCGGTGTTCCCCAATGTGGTCGCAGCCGTCTTTATACCTGCAGTGAGGAAGCGGGGACAGCTCACAGCACAGCTCGCTCCAGAAATGCGCCAACACGGAGCATCCTCATGTTCTCACCGTGAAAAGCCGCTCCCGGCATGCCAGTTTCTGCGAGGCCTTACCTGGGCCTGCAGGTGAGCCACGCCTAGAGCCTTTCCACTGTGTCACATGCTTTAAAAGTCAACCACCCATAGAAGCCAAAACATGTTTTCTAGTTCTCCCGGTTCACATATGTAAACCTTCCTCATGAAAAGGTCTCTCCCTGCCCTGGCCAGTGTTTAGAGCAGGGGTGCTCAAACTACGGCCCGCGGGCCACATGCGGCCCGCTGAAAACGTTTATCCGGCCCGCCCGGTGTTTTTGCCGCCGCTGTCTGCATAGGAATTTGTTCACAGTTTTTTTTTAAACTATAGTCCGGCCCTCCAACGGTCTGAGGGACAGTGAACTGGCCCCCTGTTTTAAAAGTTTGAGGACCCCGGGTTTAGAGTGTCAGCCCTCGCACGGAAGGGTTGCGGGTTCGATTCCCGGTCAAGGGCACATACCTGGGTTACAGGTTCAATTCCCCAGTCCGGTCAGGCACGTGCAGGAGGCAACCAATTGAAGTATCTCTCTCACATCAATGTTTCTCCCTCTCTTTTTCCCCCTCCCTCCATTCCACACTCTAAAAATCAATGGAAAAAAATATCCTCAGGTGAGGATTCATAATGAAGTCTCTGCCTACACCTAGATAAAATCCTTATTCCTTTCACAGTCTGGCCCTTGCCCACCTCTGAGCTCACCCCAGACCCCTTTCCCTCATTCACTGCTTTCTGGAAATATCAATGGGATTTTTCACTCCATAAACACCAAGATCCCCCGGCCCCCCCCCGCCCCCCCCCCCCCCCCCCCCCCCCAGTGGCGGTGTGGCTCCTGCTCTCTCTCCATTTAGTTATCAGTGCAAAAGTCAGCGCCTCTGTGAGCCCTCCTCTCACCGCCATCCCCTAAACCCAGAGTTCTCAACCTGGAGGATTCTGCCCCACCCTGGGACTGGGCAATGTCTGGGGACATTTTGGTTGCAATGACGGGAGGGTTGCTACTGGCATCTAGTGGGTGGAGGCCGGGAATGCTGCTCTCAACTCCCTACAATACACAGGAGAGTCTGCACCACAGAATTATCTGGCCCAAAACATCCTGTTGAGAAACCCTGCCCTGAACCCAGACCCCTTCCTGCCGGCCATTCTCGATCAAATCAGCAAGACACTTATCAGCGTCTGAAATTACCTCGTTCGGCTGTTCATCTGTGAATCACCGCTCCCTTCCCCTGCGGCATGAGCTCCAGGGAGACCGACGGTTCATGCCACCCCACCACCAACCACAGCCCCGTGCACGAAGGAGTCACCCGCTGTGCAAAGGAATCAAGTATGGAGGAATCCCAAACTCTCCCTTTTGAAGAGGCAGAGATGGATAAAATTCAGCGCAGTGGCCTACAGCAAAAGTAAAAGACAAGTAGGGCGTCACCTGTTAACGAGCACAAAGTTGAAGGTCTGCCCAGTCACCAAAGAAACACGATCCCGGACTCGCTCTAGAACGGGGATCCAGGGTTTTGGAGACAGAGTGAGGCCTGAAAACGTGTAGGTCAGCCCAGCGTCGCCGTACGTCGCCTGCTTCCTTGGCACGCTGTGCCACTTCCCAAACACCTGCACCTTGGCCAGCGCACCTGCAGATGAAGCACGGCAGCTCAGAAACCTGGGCAGGTGGGTGCCTACACACTCACTACCTGAGTATGCAGGGTAACTTTAAAAAAATTATTGACTGACTGATTTTAGAGAGAGGAAGGGAGAGAGAGAGAAACATGGATTTGTTGTTCCATTTATTTATGGATTCATTGGTTGATTCTTGTATATGGCCTGACCTGGGGTCGAACCTGAAACCTTGACATATCAGGACAATGCTCTAACGACTCCGCTACCCCGCCAGGGCAGGAATAACTGAATAGCCTGACCAAGGACCCCTCAAAAGTCATTGTGGCACATGCCCAGATTGTGGGCCCGATCCCCAGTAGGGGGCGTGCAGGAGGCAGCCGATCCGTGATTCCCTCTCATCATTGATGCTTCTAATCTCTCTCCCTTCCTCTCTAAATAAAAATATATTTTTTAAAAAACAGTGATTCTTGTCCTACACGTAGAGAAACATGGTCCTGCTCCAATGACTTTAAAAACACCATCACTCAATCGCCTTAACTACAGTAGGAACAGGATAAAGAGGCTGAGATGTGAGCGAGATAAAGTTAGGGGTTGATACACACTGACGGGGGTGATTTTGCCCACTGTGGAGACCAAGGGTATAGGACCCCCTGAAAGGTGGGGCCAGTACGGCTTCGTCTGTAGGCTGGGGTCCCCTCTGGGCTTTCCTGAGCTTCCCAGTGCTCTCACTGCGTGGTACCCCAGCAGCCTCTACGTGACCTGAGAATTCAGACACTAGAGTAGACTGTGGGGTGGGGCCCAGCCACCGGAGTTAAAAGCCACAGAGTCCCCGGTGATGCTGAGAGCACTGCCGAGTTACCGGGCCATTTGCTGTCTCTCCTGGGCCAGTGGCTCCTAGCCCTGGCTGCACGTTGGATTCACCTGGCAGCTTTCTGAAAACACATGCTCAGGCTGCACCCCCAGCTACTCCGATTCAACTGATCTCGGTCAGATCTCAGCATCTTTTTCTTTTTTCAACTTTCCCAGATGATTCTCCCCATGGAGATTCATTCTAGTTGTCTGTCAGCCCCCGGTGGGCAGGCAATCCTGTTTTTTTTTTTTTGTTTTAAGTTTTTATCCCAAGCGCCTAGGTAGGATCTTGGCCCACAGGGGCCCGGAGAATGTGTTGAATCAATTAACAAACTCATCAGTAATTAATGGCTCCTGAGTTCCGATTTCTCTAAACATATAGACTAGTTTTGTCGAGCAAGCCTTCAGCACACACCCTGCAGTCCTCTGCTTACCTGTAAAATATTCCACTTCTTGCTCCAGCTCTCGGAAAATCTCGTCCGCTTCGGCTTTGCCAAACAGGACTGTGTAATCGCAGTCCAGGCCCTCGGATCGAATGCGTCGCCAGCTGAGGCCGGCCGAGTCAGCACCACTCCCCGGCGTTTCTCTCCTGGGCCTCTTCCTGGCGCTTTCCTCGTCTTCTCCCAGCTCAGCTGGGCCTGCTCCTGTCTGCTCCTGCTCCCTCTTTCCCACAAGGCCCCCGAGAGCCCTCTTCACCAGGAATCTGTCCATCCTGTGTCCACAGAGCAAAGACCTGGGAGTCAGTGGTGGGGCAGAGAGAGACACGGCCCAGGCTCTGTCCCGGATGCAAAAATGTGCTCTATGGCCAAGGGATCCACAGCGGCGTTCCTCCTGGCTGTTTTCAAGTTTCCATTTTAAAGTTTAACATCACATGCTAGGAAGGAAGTAGAGGGTTAAAGCTGGGATGGTTGGTCCCTTGGGATGATCTGGTCCAGCCCAGAGTCTCCCGCACCTGGCTATGCTGGAATCAGCTGGCTAGCTTGCAAAGACCCAAATGCCTGCACTCCTCCCGCCAGCACCTGGAAGTTTTTTAAAATATACTTTTATTGATTTCAGAGAGGAAGGGAGAGGGAGAGAGTGATAGAAACATCAATGATGAGCGAGAATCATTGATCGGATGCTTCCTGCACGCCTCCCACTGAGGATCAATCCTGGAACCCCTACATGTGCCCTGACCTGGAATGGAACCGTGACCTCCTGGTTCACAGGTTGATGCTCAACCACTGAGCCAGGTCGTCTGGGCAAGCACCTGTATTTTTATAGACACAGCCCTCCTCCCCCCCCCCCCCCAATTCACACTGTACAGGCAAATTTACAGATGGGGTAACTAACACTAGGAGAAAGTAAGGGGCTTGCCTACCGTAAAGTCATCAGAAAAGCAGTGTGTCTATCTCCCTTTCACCCTAGCCGCCTGCCCTGCCCACACCATATTAAAATAAAATAGGGAAGCAGTATAGTGACCCTCAAGTGGATATGATTCTTTTTTCCCCTTTTATTGATTCCAGAGAGGAAGAGAGAGGGAGAGAGATGAAAAGAGAATCATTGATTGGCTGCCTCCTGCACGCCCCCCACTGGGGATCCCGCCGCCCACCCGGGCATGTCCCGTGACCCGAACCCGGGACCCTTCAGTCCAGCAGGCCCACGCTCTACCCACTGACCCACACCGGCTAGGGCTGGATGTGATTCTTAATCTACATGTAAACAGTTCAACGTGACCCTTAGGCAAGTGCCGGAATTCTGATAAGAAAATAACTCTAACACCTGCGTGGGGCGGGGGCGCCCAGGGTTCTCTTTAAAACTTCAGCGTCTGCGCAGCTTACGAACCCCGCGAACACGGTCTATAGGGGGGCGGGAAGGGGAAAACACTCACCGGGTCCGCAGCAGTACTTCCGGGTGGATTTCGACCGGCGAGCTGGGAAGCGCAGGCAGCGCTGCAAAGCAAGGCGGTGGGCGGCCTCCGCGCGCCACCTGCTGGCCTCCTGGGCGAGTTGCAAGTACTGTCCCCCCCGTGTTTGGAGTTTAGAATTTGTTCTGTAACTGGAGGATCACCCTGTGGTTTGGGAGCTGTAACTCGGTGCACCTCTCCCTGGGGATTCATTTGGGATCCCCACAGGGAGTTGCTGTGTGGGTAAATGATTTAAAATTACGAGCTTCTCGCTTTCTTACCCATCAAGCTCCCTGTTGTAAGCGCTGGAACTCATCTGTTAACAAGAAGAATACAGTCCCTGCCCTCACTCAGGTTACATTTTGGAGATGCAGACAGAAATAAACAAGGAAAGAATACAGAGGATAATGTTCGGTAATACAGAAGCTATAAATAGAGTGACCGGCAGGAGAAGGCCTTTCAGAGAAAGGGTCCCGGGCGGAGACCCGAAGCTTCCAGGTAGGGACTGCTGCGTGCAAGGGTGTGAAGGTCATTCTAGGCTAAGCATATTTGGAAACTGTCTGTTTTATTATGAATAATTTTACATTTCCAACAGATCACTTGGTAGGAAAGATGTGACCAGCTGGGATTTTAGCCAGGAGATGGAGAGAGCAGCAGCTGAATTCAGTCTTTCTTTTGGAGACAACCAATTGGACCTGTTGATGGTTTGGCTATGGGGAGGGAAGGACAGGCAGGTGTATTGGGGGGGCGGGGTTGCCTTACAGAGGATGACTATTCTGGAGGTCAACCTTCACGTCCTCAAAGTCTCCCCAAAACTTACAGGTAAGGCACAGTAAGTTGGGCTGTTCTCAGCCTTAGCTAGCGGTCAGTAAAATGGGTTGTGAAAATTGGATGAGATAATGCAGTATCCAAGAGCTCAACAAATGCTATTTAAATGCTAATTTCACTCCCACTCCTACTTGACTTGCAGGTACTTTTATCTTTTCCTCTCCGCCCTCCTCCCCCCTCCACAAGGAGGAGAAAGCGGGGACTTGCCCCAAGGCAGAGGGGTGATGAGAGAATGAAGAGTTAACGAATGAACGGATGACCTCAGGAAACCCTGCCCCCAGCCGCCCCTCCCGCACATGCGTATTGGGCCCTCCGCCGCCCCCCGCCCAGCCCAGCCCAGCCCACCCTCTCGGCGGGAGCATGCGCGCGCGTCTTGGCGCCAATTGCGGACCGCCACCGCCGGAGCCAACCTCGCGGGACCCCGGGCGGCGCGCCTCCGCTTCCCCCAGCCTCGCGGGTCCCCGGGCGGCGTCGGGATGATCGGCCAGAAGACGCTCTACTCCTTCTTCTCCCCGAGCCCCGTCGGGAAGCGACGTGCCCGCAGCCCCGAGCCGGCCGACCCGGGGACCGGCGTGGCGGCCGTAGCTGAGGAGAGCGGGGATGCAGCGGTGAGGCGCGGCGGGGACCGCTCGTGGGGCCGGGGAAGGGGGAAGGGAGAGGGAGGAAGGCGGCGGGGACCGCGCGACTGAAGAGCTGCAGAGACGCGCCCGGACTCGGTAACCTGGGGTCTCGTGTCTAAAGCAGCCTCCACATACTCAAAACAGCCGCCGCGGTCCTCCACTGGCGGCCATGCTGAGGGGCCAGCCAATAGGAGCGAACTCCGGAGCCCACGGCGCCAATCAGAGGCGAGGGGACCGCCCTTCTCGGCCGCGTCCAATCGGAGGAAGGAAAGGGCGGGACCTCGGGGAGAGTTTTTGCCGCGAAAAGACCACGTGGGGACGCGCAGCGGCGGGTCGGGCGGGGCGGGGCGCCTGGTTGCGGGGCTTCCGTTTCAGCGCCCCGCTCCACTCCACTCCGCCCCGCATTAATACCAAACACGAAACTTGGGGCATCGGCCTGCTAAGTGCGGGTCTGGCCTAAGGCCTGGGTTCCCAGCGTCCGGTTTTGCACTGACCTTCCGGGCGCGGCCGGAACCCACGGATGGGCGTCCTCTGCTATGGGCCTTGGGGTGGGGGGCGGAACCTGCTGGTGCCCGGCCGAGGCCCGCTGCGCATCTTGACCCGCCTCTGCGGGGACCGCTTGCAGGTCAGCCCCGCCAAGAAGGCCCGGGCGGAGCAGGAGGAGCCCGGCACACCGCCCTCGTCGCCGCTGAGCCCCGAGCAGTTGGTCCGCATCCAGAAGAACAAGGCCGCGGCCCTGCTGAGACTCGCGGCTCGCAACGTGCCGGTGGGCTTCGGGGAGAGCTGGAAGAAGCACCTGAGCGGAGAGTTCGGGAAGCCGTATTTTATTAAGGTCAGCGAGGAGGCCGTCGCAGGCCCAGGCCGCGTTTACAGGCTATGGCTTTTGTCGTCTCCTGCTTTCCCTCCTTCGGTGTCCTTTTCACGTTAACCATGGTGTTTTGAACCTGCACGTTTATATTCGTTGCTAAACGACTTAAGATGATATCGTGGCTTCTTTTAGTCCATCTAGTTCGGCTGCTATCCAGGAAAGAGGGGCCAAGTAAAAAACCCGCGCACCGGATGGCTTGGAACCTGGCTCCGCCTTTAAAAGGGGGGGGCGGGGTTGGCATGAACAGGAAATGAAGGCACCTAAGCCAATCAACTTAGACCCAGCCCCAAGCAAGGGAGGGAATGGAAGCGCTGGAGCAACTCCGGTGGGGAGGGAGCAGGTACTGTTTTTATTTGCTGGGTTTTTCTTTAAAATTATTTAGAAATATTTTTTTATTTTATTTTTTTTACTTACTGATTTTATTTTATTATTTTTTATATATTTTATTGATTTTTTTACAGCGAGGAAGGGAGAGGAATAGAGAGTTAGAAACATCGATGAGAGAGAAACATGGATCAGCTGCCTCCTGCACACTCCCTACTGGGGATGTGCCCGCAACCAAGGTACATGCCCTTGACCGGAATCGAACCCTTCAGTCTGCAGTCGGACCCTTCAGTCTGCAGGCCGACGCTCTATCCACTGAGCCAAACCGGTTAGGGCTTTACTTACTGATTTTAGAGATGTGCCCTTACAGGAGAGAGAACCTGCAACCTTGGTGTATTGCTCTAACCAACTGAGCTGCCAGGCCAGGGCAGAAAAGAATTGGGACAGAAAACCTAGCAAAGCGTTAGATAATGCTTCAGTTAACTTTCTTATTGAATTCATATGCTTTTCAGTGAGAATCTCATTTTAAATCTAGTTTTTTTTTTTTTCAATCAGCTAATGGGATTTGTTGCAGAAGAAAGAAGACGTTACACTGTTTACCCACCCCCACACCAAGTCTTCACGTGGACCCAAATGTGCAACATAAGAGATGTAAGTACAGGTTGTGGGTGAATTCTTGCAAAAGAAGAGTGGGAACCAAAGAGTATTTCTTAATTAGGGACACTGGGGTTAAAACACTGTCCGTAATTCGGTAACGAAATAAAATACTAAAATTGAGAGATTTGTCAGGCTATCTGCTCTCCTTTCTTGTGTTTTATTTAATCCTGAAACCAATCCCCGACCAGTGTGGTGGTGGTGAGGAAGCTGTGGCATAAAGGAGTTACTCTTTTTCACCTGGTTATAGTCAACCCCACCTTGACTAGAAGCTCAGTATTCTTTCTGTCTGACCACACTGTCCTTTAGTCTCTTAACATCTGGCCCAAACAGGTCTGCTACCCTGTTACCAAAGCCCTTTGCTTTGGTTGGTTGTACAGCCGGCTGCTGCCTGGGGTCTCTGGTCCTGTCAGCCTCCTGTTCAGAAGCTTGTCTGGCTTCCCACTGCCTGAACGATGGAGGCTGCATGAATATGGCCATGTCCTACTTAACTAGCCTTACCTCCACCTCCCATTCTTCTACACCAGAATTGAACGCTGTGGCAGGCCTCTTCTCACTTCCGTCTCTTTTTTTTTTCTTTTAAATATATTTTATTGATTCTTTACAGAGAGGAAGGGAGAAGGATAGAGAGTTAGAAACATCAATGAGAGAGAAACATCGATCAGCTGCCTCCTGCACACTCCCCGCTGGGTATGTGCCTGCAACCAAGGTACATGCCCCTGACCAGAATCGAACCCGGGACCCCTGAGTCCGCAGGCCGACGCTCTATCCACTGAGCCAAACTGGTTAGGGCCTCACTTCCGTCTCTTAAAACCAAGTATAGATCTATGGCACCTCGCTGAATCCCGTTTTCCACTACCGTTGTGATCTGGTTTTCCTCGAAACCCCCCCAAATATGCTTAGTGTCTGCTTACACGGGAGATTTTTTACAATTTGTTCTTACCCTTTTCCCTCCCCATTTATAAGTTGAGAGCAAGAGTCCCGTGACTTAGTCATATCTGTCAAGTAGAAGTGAAATGGGTGAATAGGCCACCTTGATAAGGCTACTACACCTAATACTTAGCAAACTTCCCAGTTTTCAGTGTAGAGCAAGGACTTTGGATATAGCTCCTTGTTTCTGAAGTTAGAAAAAACAAAAACTAAGTTATTTTAAATTCAGTGCTATTTTGCCCCTTGGTTGAATAGATGTCCTGTTTGAATACCAGCGATCGATATAAATAGGGAAGAATAAGAAAAGAGCCTGCAACTGGGGATCAGATGGCCCAGAGTGGCTTTGCAAATGAGCATAGGGAGGGTCTGGGAGGTTACCTGGCTCCTCTGAGGCTGTCCCTTATCCAGCTTCCATGCTGGGACAGGTGGCTTCATGCAGGGGACAGTTGAGCACCAGCAGCAGGAAGGGAGCGGCCCACGAAAGCTTCCTGAAGAGGGGGCTGTCTGAGCTGGATTTTGAAGGATAAGGTATATGTCAGCTATGGAAGAAGATTCTAAGAAGGTGCACCTTGAGCAGAAGCACGAGAATGAAGAAGAGGTGGGCGGCCTCCTGATCAAAAGGACTGGCCGTGTCTTAACACAGCCCGCGACAGTGACCTAATTACTTTCCACTGCATCTTGCCGCCTACTCCCGTGGCTCTTGACCTGACCTCGTTACCTTCTGGTTAAATTCCTTAGAAGATCTAGGGGAACAGGCCCCTTCGTATGCTGCCGGTGAGGCATCCGAATTGCTTCAACTCGTTGGAAATGAAAATTTGAAATACACTTATTCTTTGACCCGCAACTCCACTATTATAAGTATTCCACAGAAATAAAAGCAACAGTGGAGAAACATATACATACCAGGGTGCTTGCTGCGTGACTTTTTGTAATGGAAAACAAGCTGACTGCCCATCAGTGACTGGGCCCTACATATTAATTTGAAGGCTAAAATGTGTGATGTGAGGAGCACCAAATGTAGGGTAATGAGTACGATAACCCCAATTCTGTAGGTAATTTTAAAAACGTCAGGATGAGATAGGATAACTGGGAGATGACTAACCACTTTGAATCTTTCTGGATGGTTGTACTTTTTCAAGGTGTATTTACTTTTGTCATTTGACAAATGAGAAGGACGAAAGCAAAGTGGACCCTAACTTGTTTCCCATACCTGTGTCCGAAGGGAGGGGGCGGTGTGGTAGGGTGGCTGAGTGAAGGAGAATTTGGTAATGGAAAGTAAGTAAGATACCAGGCCATCTGCTTTCTTCTGGGGGTTCTAGTTGGGTCATGGGTGGGGCAGGGGGGGTTGCCCTTCTCGTTATCCTGTCCCTTTGTATAGGTCAGCGGTCAGCCCAGGGTTCCTTTACACTGCCCACGCTAGAGTATTGTTTAATCTGCCGCCTGGCATTCACAGGTGAAGGTTGTCATCCTGGGACAGGATCCATATCATGGACCCAATCAAGCTCACGGGCTCTGCTTTAGTGTGCAAAGGCCTGTCCCGCCTCCGCCCAGGTACGATTGCTTCATAGATGGCTCAGGTCCCATTGCAATTACTGTCAGATGTGCACTTTTTAAGTCGGCGGTCGCCAACCGTTCGGACCTCACAGACCACCGGTTGGCGACCGCTATTTCCAATGATCGGTACACCTATTTGGGGGACTTTCGCTAGCCTTTGGAAAGTCTAGTGATGTTTGGGGGCTGGGGCTTTGTGGGGGAGAGGGTTGGTCCAGGGCACTGAAGATGTTTAGCAGCACCCATGGCCTCTACTCACCAGGTGCCAGGAGCACTGCCTCCTAGAACTAGAGAGTTCTAACAAAATGGCAATGAAAAATGTCTTTAGACATTGCCACAT